GTTACCGGCGGCCGAACAGACTCGTTCCTGCCAGAGACGGGGTGGGGGTGCACCCACAGGGCAGAGGAGTTCCGCAGCGCCACCTGCCAGAGAGCGAGCCGCCTGTCAGCGCCCTGCCTGGCGGGGTGCAGAGGGAAGCCACCGACTCCCGCCCGCCCCCCCCAGGGCAGCCACCAAGAGGCCACGGGGAAGGGCTGGCTGGGGAGAGAACCGAACCGGCACCTGACTCAGCTCCAGGAAGGAGTGAATGTTCTCCAGGCGGACGGGAAACTTGTTTCTTTCCATGTCGTAGACCATGCGGGAGCTGCCGATGTAATCAAAGGTCTCCTGTGACGGAACGAGAGCGTCCGTGAGCCGCGGGCATTTGATAGTTCACCAGCGGGGGGACACTCTCCAACTAGCCTCTGTCCTCACGTGTCTGCAAATGTTGCCATTTGGTGGAGGCTCCAGAGCCGCCCCTCCCCATAAAAACCGCGTTGTCTGGTTCTGAGTGGGGGATAAAGGGCCCGAGGGCAGGGCCGGCCGACAGCAGCAGCCAGAGAGCGGCTAGCGACTTCCAGCAGAGCCCGGGGCGTCTCCACCCACCTCTGCTCTTGGCGAGCACTGACGGCCACTGGGACTTAGCGGCATAAACTGGGTGTGAACAGGCTCCACGGGCCTGCTGACGAGGGTACTGAGGCACCTCAGGGTGCAGGTAAGTGCCTTGAGCCCACAGAGCCAGGAGTGCCTAAGGGGCCTGGCCACCGTGGCACTTCCCACCAGTCTTCCTTCTACATCTCTGCGCGGGAGAGGGTCCGCTCCCCAGGGCGCTGCTCCTGCGGAACGAGCCGGATCCGCTCGCTCGGCCACTTGCTCCGGAATCAGGGATAACTCGCGCTGGCTCCATGTGCCTCCCTCACCGTCAACGGGAGATGCCTGGGCACCAAGCCCCACCAGCCTCCGCACATCACAGTGCCTGCCCGCCGCCCCCGCAGGGATCCCAGAGCAGCTCTCAGAGAAGGGCTGACTGCAGCCCCCCGCGGGGGTCACATGGCCCCGCACACCAGAGCTCCACAAAGGAGGCGGCTGCAGATGCCTGGAGGGGAACATCAGCTGCTCACCATCAGCCTCCTTCCCCCACGAGCCTACGCTGGCTTAACACAGCCGCCCCCGGTGCCAGCGCGCGCTCTCAGGCAGGAGCCCATCGCGCTGCAGACGGCTTGCCCACGCCTGGGAGTCACTGACCGGGCACGAGACTCACTGCCCCGTCCGGCCAGGCTAGAGGTACCTGGGAGAGCCTGGGACTCACGCCAGTACAAGGGACTAGGGAGAGCCAAGGGGGACGCGCTCCAGGCCAGAGGTTCTCACCCCGCGGTACGCGCCCTCCCGCCGGAGCTCTTCCCCGTGGTACACGCCCCCGCCCCAGAGCTCTTCCCCGTGGTACGCGCCCTCCCGCCGGAGCTCTTCCCCGTGGTCCGCGCCCCCCTCCCCAGAGCTCTTCCCTGTGGTACGTACCCCCCCACCTCCGCCCCCGCCCCGGAGCTCTTCCCTGTGGTACGTACCCCCCCACCTCCGCCCCCGCCCCGGAGCTCTTCCCTGTGGTACGTACCCCCCCACCTCCGCCCCCGCCCCGGAGCTCTTCCCTGTGGTACGTACCCCCCCACCTCCGCCCCCGCCCCGGAGCTCTTCCCTGTGGTACGTACCCCCCCACCTCCGCCCCCGCCCCGGAGCTCTTCCCTGTGGTACGTACCCCCCCACCTCCGCCCCCGCCCCGGAGCTCTTCCCTGTGGTACGTACCCCCCCACCTCCGCCCCCGCCCCGGAGCTCTTCCCTGTGGTACGTACCCCCCCACCTCCGCCCCCGCCCCGGAGCTCTTCCCTGTGGTACGTACCCCCCCACCTCCGCCCCCGCCCCGGAGCTCTTCCCTGTGGTACGTACCCCCCCACCTCCGCCCCCGCCCCGGAGCTCTTCCCTGTGGTACGTACCCCCCCACCTCCGCCCCCGCCCCGGAGCTCTTCCCTGTGGTACGTACCCCCCCACCTCCGCCCCCGCCCCGGAGCTCTTCCCTGTGGTACGTACCCCCCCACCTCCGCCCCCGCCCCGGAGCTCTTCCCTGTGGTACGTACCCCCCCACCTCCGCCCCCGCCCCGGAGCTCTTCCCTGTGGTACGTACCCCCCCACCTCCGCCCCCGCCCCGGAGCTCTTCCCTGTGGTACGTACCCCCCCACCTCCGCCCCCGCCCCGGAGCTCTTCCCTGTGGTACGTACCCCCCCACCTCCGCCCCCGCCCCGGAGCTCTTCCCTGTGGTACGTACCCCCCCACCTCCGCCCCCGCCCCGGAGCTCTTCCCTGTGGTACGTACCCCCCCACCTCCGCCCCCGCCCCGGAGCTCTTCCCTGTGGTACGTACCCCCCCACCTCCGCCCCCGCCCCGGAGCTCTTCCCTGTGGTACGTACCCCCCCACCTCCGCCCCCGCCCCGGAGCTCTTCCCTGTGGTACGTACCCCCCCACCTCCGCCCCCGCCCCGGAGCTCTTCCCTGTGGTACGCGCCCCCGCCCCAGAGCTCTTCCCCGTGGTCCGCGCCCCCCTCCCCCTGCGCAGCTCTTCCCCGTGGTATGTGCCCCCTCCACTTGTGCAGCTCTTCCCCGCAGGCACACGCTAGTCTCCCAAGGGCACATCAGCACATCCAGATGCGTGTCTAGTGCTAGACCAGGCTCCATGAAGCCCCAGCGAGGTGGGTGCAAACCACCACTTCAGACAGTGACTTGTCCTCACACAGGTTGTACCTCCCTGGGCTGGCACCCTTGGGACCTGACTCGTCCTGATCCAGGGAATTTGCTGGATCAGGGGAGCCACTGTGCCCCTCTGCTGCTGTCGGCTGCGGGGCTCTGCTCTAGCAACAGGAGTGGGGCCAGGGTTGGCAGAGGGGAGCCTGGGGGGAAGAGGCCAGGAAG